GCTTAGTTAATACCGCAACCGCACGGAAATTACAGTTAACACTTAACCGATGCTTACCTGAGATAGATGCACGCTTAGTCGACGGAACGCCACTAGCCATACGGGAAAAGGTGGAGCGAGTAAAAGTCCGCTGCGGAGGAAACTTCGGGTTTACACAGGAAATGCTCGCAACAACACTGGATGGGCACGACATTTTTTTGGGACGTGATTGGCTGCGACGGTATAACCCGCAAATTGACTGGACGACGGGTAGCTGCACAGTGCGAAATAGTGGTAACTGGGTCGTCCTACCTCGCTGGCAGCCACCCGAGTCTTCGACGGTCCAGGTCACGATGAAACGGGTTGTCGCTGCTGGAGCTGACGTGTACGCAGTGGATATAGCATAAGTGCAAGAAGAGGAGCTGCCGAGCGATTTTCAGAAACTATTGGCAGTTGTACCACCCGAACTTCAGGCACTACTGAAACGATTCCCGGGTATCTTTCCGGATGACTTACCACAAGGGCTGCCACCTCAGCGAGCGCATGACCATAGGATCGAGTTAGAACCGGGGGCACAGCCAACTGTACAGCGCCAGTTCAGACTGACACAGCCCGAGCTCGACGAACTAAGGAAGCATTTAGATTATCTGTTAGAGAAGCAGTTTATCCGACCGAGCTCGTCACCGTTCGCCGCACCGATACTGTTCACACCGAAAAAAGACAGGAAGCGGCCGGCGGGACAATTACAACCAATCCCACCTCCGGAGCGTGCTTGGCAACAAGTGACGATGGACTTCGTCACGGGGTTACCAGCCGGGGCGAGTGGGAATGACGCGATCCTGGTCGTCGTCGATCGACTGACGAAAATGGCACACTTCGCAGCCTGCAAGAAAACAATCACAGCCGAGGAAACAGCCCGACTCTTCATCACCACCGTCGTTCGACTGCACGGGATACCAGCATCGATCATCAGCGACAGAGACACGAAGTTTACCAGCAAATTCTGGCGGAACCTGTGGCAGCAGTTCGGCACGCGACTACAATTCAGTTCATCGTATCACCCCGAAACCGACGGACAGACAGAACGGACAAACCAGACCATGGAGCAGCTCATTAGGGCCACGTGCGACGACCCAAACACGTGGGAGCAGCAGCTGCCACTCATCGAATTCGCATACAACAACGCGCCATCTGCCACGACCCAACAGTCGCCGTTTTACCTGAATTACGGACAAGACCCCACAGTACCCATGACCCCAAATCCCGACAACCCCGTTCCACGTGCGCAACAATTTGCCGAGATTTTGCAAGCAGCACGGACCAGGGCAGCAGAAGCAATAAAAAAATCAAACATCATCGCTAAACGCAACGCCGACCGCCACCGCAGACCTGTCACTTATCAGCCCGACGACCTCGTTTTACTCGACACTCAAAACCTCCGCCTGCCCATCACTCCAAAGCTCCGCCCCCAAGACTGTGGGCCATTTCGAATTAGCCACATGATCACACCTGTCACCGCGCACCTCCTCCTCCCTGCTGACTGGTACGTCAGCTCCTCGTTCCACGTCAGCTTGCTTCGCCCTTACGTACCATCTACCGGCCAACTCCCACGACACCGACCATCCAGCATGGCACGACCACCATCCGAACCAATCATCACCCCCGACAAAATCCTGAGTCACAGAGTTCGCGACCCCCGAGGAGCCCGAAAGATCGAGTTCCTGATCCGCTGGAAAGACCGTACACCTACCGAGGACAACTGGGTTCCCCTGGACAGAATTGAAAACCACCCTGTCCTCACCGAATATCTGCGCAGCCGAAACTTCAAAGATGTCCACACACTTTCGTAAGAAGGACCTCCTTAGGAGGGGGGGGATAGTGTAAGGAAAATCCCTTTTCCTTACTTCGCATCCCTGCTCAACGCGTACATCACTGTAGCACCTCAGTCAGCACCGTTACCACTCGCGATCATCGCATCGACAATCATCCCGCCATTTTTTGCACATCGCATCCCGACCTCACGGCTCGGCTGGTAACCCGTGCTCCGAGGCTACGCCTCGACACTTTCCCAACCTCAGTCCCAGGCTCGTCGCGCGACTACCACAGACCATTACCGTTATCACTGTAGTTTCGCTATATATTCTTCGCTCACGCCCTCGCTCATTGGATTCTTGCTTCGATAGTGCAATTCTCGTTCGTTCACTCAATTGCACTCGTAACAGCTAGTAAGTATTACGATGTCCGTAATAGGACCCCGGTCTCGGTCGGCGTAGAATGTCGATCTTCTCGGCGAGCGCGAGAATCTCGTTAAAATTAGAGAATCCGCGCAGCATTATTTTGTGCAAGATATCCGGCTTCAGCCCTCCGACATAACGGTCCACCCGCTCCGCTTCGTGCATGTAGCCGACCTGCTCGCAAAGTGCGAGAAAACCGCTTGTATAATCTTGAACTGACCCGAGCTGGCGCCAAGTGCGCAATCTCTGACGCGCCGAAATTGAAGCCGCGATCGGCTCAAAACGCGCCCGAAGCCCTGCGCACCACGCATCCCACGTGCTGTATTGGGCGGTCTCACAGAAAGAACTCCAGGTGACAGCTGGACCCGTGGGCCCTTCCTCGTGCAACGGTGGCTCGTAGGCGCGTGGCGACGTCACGATGACTCGCCACCAGTCCATGGCGGGGCCCCTTAGCACTGAAACTGCATACCGGATCTTCGCGGCGTCCGACTCGACGTAATTTGCGTCGAAGAAGACGTTCATCGTGAAGACCCACGATTGAACCGTCGGACCGCCGCGTTGGCTTGGGTCGAAGCAGGGCGGGCGTTGCGGCTTGAGCGGCATTGGTGCCATGATGGCTTGTTCGCCACTTGTCGCCGCAAATTCCACGTGCCGACGGGCTTCTCGGGGCTCCCGCGGGCTTGGTGCGATCCTGTTTCCTCCCATGCCAGGCATCGGCTGGGCGGCGCCATTACTGGTTGTGCCTGAGCGTTGTCCCATGCTGTCGTGTTGTGTTGGTGTGCCGGACGAGATGACGATCGGTTCATCCGAATGTGCCGATACATTTGTTGGTGTGTGTGATGTCGTCGGAACGTTCACCGTGGACTGTTGACGGGCGGAGTCACGTTCCGCCGTGAGCGTCGCGATTTCGAGCGCTGAATCTTCCAGTTGACGCACGAGACGATCAAGTTGCTCCTGCGTTAATGTGGCGAGCGTGAAATCGGCCATGGCGGGGGTGTCGGGCAAGCTCAGCGAGAGCCTCGGTTGTGGCCGTGCGTGCTTGCGAGAGAGCACTACGAGCGGCGGTGCTGTATCGCTGAGAGACGTCTACCCCCCCCAAAAAATTGAGATAGTGGGGAAGCGAAGGTGTGGATGCGGTCCGAGCTGAGATCGTAGGCTCTGATAACCAAGTGTTACGAGTGCAATTGAGTGAACGAACGAGAATTGCACTATCGAAGCAAGAATACAATGAGCGAGGGCGTGAGCGAAGAATATATAGCGAAACTACAGTGGTAACGGTAATGGTCTGTGGTAGTCGCGCGACGAGCCTGGGACTGAGGTTGGGAAAGTGTCGAGGCGTAGGCCCGGAGCGCGGGTTACCAGCCGAGCCGTGAGGTCGGGATGCGATGTGCGAAAAATGGCGGGATGATTGTCGATGCGATGATCGCGAGTGGTAACGGTGCTGACTGAGGTGCTACAGTGATGTACGCGTTGAGCAGGGATGCGAAGTAAGGAAAAGGGATTTTCCTTACACTAGCGTATGTGTAGCGACGACCATGGTTCGGTGTGATAGGTGTATCTCATCAAGGTCCCTGGAATCCTGTAACTGAACCTCATCAACACCCCAGCGTGGAACAGAGGGTTCAAGGACAGCTGAAGTTCGGTTGCTTGCTCGGTACAGTGAGGTGAGGGTTTGACGGGTCTGGATATTGCATAGTGTACAGTACAAATAATATGAAAATTTGGTTCAGGTCAGGTTCCTCCACCATTCTCTCTTCAGGGCAGCGCGCGCGACATGCCGATCAGTTTTGGCTGATAGCGCGACAAGACATGCTGCTTCGCAGTTCGGTTTCTGTCTTTTGTAACAGACCAAACATCGGTTGGGCGCACTTCGGTTCAGACCAAGCACATGCGCTTGCTTCCCCCCACCCCTCCCGCACCCCTCCTGCCCCCAACCAACACCCACACAACACAACAAAATCCCCAACAGCCTCTCCACAGCATTCACGTGGGAAAGCAAGCCAGCTTTCAGGATAACGACCAACAGACTTCCAACTTACAACACCTCCTCTCCCCAGCCACAGTCGAGAGGGGCGGTAGGTAGCAGGGAGTTTCAGAACACGGAGAATTATCAATATACGTTCACGGCTCGTTTAGCGCGGTTCAGTACGTTAAAACAGGGTCGGGAACAGTTCTGGAATTTCACCATTATTTCTTGTTTTCAACCGTCCTGTAACGTGCTTGACCGCAGTGAACGAATCAGAGTCAGGAAATTATGACGCGCCCTAACTGGTTACGGGAGCCCTCCGTACCGTACCTTTGAGAGACCTATTCAATATCACAGTGCACTCCACTCCCTCCGGTCCTCATTGAAGCCTTACAGCTCAACATTTTCAAGCATCGCACGACGAGCATTTCCACATTCACCCAGTGGTACGAGTCATAAGCTACTAGATTTCTTCGGAAGTACGTGCCCTCGAATGTGTTTAGCGCATCCGTAAAATCTCCTATTAGAGCGGAGTGTAAGAAATGGGGCACAGACATCTTGTCGAGTCCCTCGTCCTTTTACTTCTCATAATCAGCACAGTATTATTGGCAGACAGCTCGCCAGCTTCATATGTCTCACAGTTTAGTGGTCTCACGCGACACGAGAAGGGCTCCCGCATTCTAAGGGAAGACACTCTCGCGTCGGACGCGCAGAGCACTGAGAGCGACTCCGACAATGTCGAAGAACGCAATGACCGCCTGCTGCTCGACACGGCGACGAAGCTCGGGCTGTCGGCGCCGCCGCTTAACTCGGGGCCGAGCATGGCGGTTGTGAACATGTCGTTCTACCGCTGGGAGAGCGTCACGCCGCCGCCCGTCTTCGACTGGCGCACGGCTACTTCCATTACGCCCATCCAGACGCAGTTTCAGGTTGGTGATTCACAACGCCACTCCCGCTTGCTGTGGTCTTTTCGTTTTCAGACTTCCTTTTTTCAAGAATGCGTCTTCATTCAGACTCTCGTTCCGTGTTCTTGCTGTGTCTTGCATCTCCATAAGATAACATAATCAGCAGTAGCGTCTCTCGGCCGTTGATTTGCGGACACTGTCTTAAGCTGCTGGATTACTTCTGACGCCAAAACTCACGGAACTTCTTCGTCTCCCTTCACTTTTTTTTTTTTTTTCGCAGTGCTCAAGCTGCTGGGCGATCGCAGCCATCGATTCCGTCGCCATGATGTGGTCCATTGCCAACAATGCCACAGCAGAACAGCTGTCACCGCAGCAAGTGTGCGACTGCGCGACGAAGCAGTGCTGCCAGGGCGGGTGGCCCGAGTGGGCCTTTTCCTACGTGCTCTTCAACGGCGGCGTCACGTCCAACGCCAACTACCCCTACCTCGCCTACGATTCCGCCACGTGTCTGCTCGACACATCCATGCCGTCAACGGCGCAGATCACGGGGTGGGAGCTGGTGCCGGCATTCAACGCCATGGCGCTCATGAAGGCCGTGACGAAGCAGCCCGTTGTCGCATTCCTTAGCGCGTCGTCCACGGACTTTGTGGTACGCTCACCGGGTCCCATTTCTCATACCATGTTTCCGAATCTTCCCCACGTGGTTCCTTTTCTCTCTGTGTTTTCGAATCGTTCCGCCTCCGCACATCCTTTGACTCTGATTTGGTAAGCCGAATGCGCGACGACATCAGTTGACGGTGTTCAGCACGTCATTGCTTTCATGCGCCTCTGCTTCCATCGGCAACATTAGAGCCGAAATCCCAATCTTTGTTCTTGGGTGTTCCCCGTGCCACTTTCCTTATCATAGTTTTGACGCGTCTCTCTCCCCCGCCGCTTTCCGGTGTTTCTCGTCCTTCGTTGCCGCAGATGTACAAGAGTCGCGACGTGCTGAACATTTACAACGGGCTGTGCACGACGGAGGTGAACCACGCGGTGGTGGTCGTGGGCTTTAACTACACCGGCCCCAGCCTCAACGGCAGCTACTGGATCATCAAGAATTCGTGGTTCGAGACGTGGGGCGACCACGGCTACATGTACCTCGCCATGACGCCCGACGTGCGCGGGAAATGCGGGCTGCTCTCGTAAGTGTCACGCTCCCTTTGTTTTCATTGCGCGGCGAAAGTTCTCGCGTAACCTTTGATGTCGTGGTTTGCCGGTTATCAACAGCATACCTTTTGCTCCCCACGTGCGTCCAATTCGCTCACCTCCCCCGCGCCTTGCCACCTCTTCCCCTTTCTCTGGGCAGAACCCCCGCCATGTACCCCGTCTACTTCCCATCGGGGCAGCAGCCGGCGCGCTTCTCGTCGGACAAGGGCGGCAAGTGGAAAATCAACAAAGTGGACGACCTCTCGTCGTCGCTCTTCTCCTCCACCCTTTCTTTCGACACCGCCACAACCACCACCACCACTACCACAACCTCCGCTACGGTTGCGTCGTTCAGCGATCCGACGATCACCGATTCCTCCTCTCTGCTGATTGGATCCACCACTGGATCCACCACTGGATCCACCATTGGTTCCACTACTGGTTCCGCCACGTGCCCGGGGATGATCAACCCGTGCGGCGGGGGCAGTTGCTACATGAGCGGCGGGGTTCCGCGGTGCAACTGCAGTGCAGTAGCGAATATGGTTGAGATGTTGGGAGTGCCAACGTCCAAGTGCGTGCCGCGAAGTCCCTGCACGACGGCTCTCGTGAATCCCTGCGGCGGCGGAACTTGCACGGATGTGGGCGACGGGACGTACACATGCGCGTGCACTGCAGGTTACGCCATCGGCGCTGCTGTCGACGGTTCGCCGACGTGCATGCCTGCGGCTGGACTCGCGAAATCTTATGTTACCCTCCCTGGCGACAACTGCACTGCGGTCGCGACAGCTTTCGGCATTTCCACCACTACACTGACAGACCTGAATACTTTCATTAACTGCTCCGTTACAGAGTACCTTCCTCCCGGAATTGCACTTACAGTGTCGGGAACAGTCACTTCCTTATCCTCATATTGCACCAACACATACACCGTCCGGCCTTCCGATACTTGTTCATCTATTGCAAACGCTTACTTCAGTGGTTCACTGACTGCACTTGGTGCAATCAATCCTGGCTTATCGTGCAAACGCCTGTTCAAGTCACAGCAAGTATGTCTTCAAATGGTTTCGGCATCTTCTACATCTTCAGCTACACAATGCGGGCAGAGTGTTGCAGTGGCCATGGGAGACACGTGTGCTTCACTCTCAGTTAAATATGTCATCAGCACCTCAACTTTTGTAAAGTAAGTTCAATTAATCCCCGCCCCCTTTTATTCAGTCTTCGTCGTTCTTCTTCTTTACCTCCTAAACCCACTTGCAACTTAAGTTGACATACAAATCTCGTTTACACTTCTTCATATTTCTCATTTTCTCTTTCCTTCGTCTTCTCTGCAGCCTCAACCCAGGTATCAACTGCAACAGCGCCCTCGTCGTGGGAAGCTACGTGTGTGTGGCGCCCAAATCATCCGCTGTAAGTTGCAGCATCACCACTAACACCAACCTGCTTTCCTCTATCACCTCCGTTGGTCTTACATCTGATTCGAGTGCCACTCAACTTGTCACGTCATTCAGTCTGTCCGCTGCTATTTCTGCTCTCACATATTGCCTCTTCTCCATCTCATCTCTGTCTCCCCCCCCCCCCCCCCAACCTCTCTGTGTGCAGACCACCATCAACTGCACGGGGTGGTACCGGGTGATGCAGGGCGACACATGCCCCTCCATCTGGAATGCAGCCAACCTCACCATGTCCATGTTCCAAGCCATCAACCCGGGCATCCAGGTAACTTTCATCCACATTGCCCTAAACTCTGGCGTCCAGGTAAACCCTGAACCCTGGCAGCCAGCTACTTCTATCTCGGAACCCTCATACATCACCACATACCATTCCCGTACAAGCACATACTGCCCCATGCCAACCAAACAGGCACGTGCCGTGGCCTACCCACCCCATACGCGAGCCAGCTTCCTTACCTCTCTCTCCCTTGTTGTTTCTCCCCCTCGTCGTGCAGTGCCAGGCTCCCTACCTTGGCATTGGCCAGCAGGTCTGCATCGACTCGCCCATCCTCACCACCATGCAGCGAACTCCCAACGTCTCCTATTCCATTTACACCGTCCGCCCCGGTGAAACCCTCGCCGATATCTCCTCCATCTACGTCCCCCGCTGCACGCCCAACTCCATTTCACCTGTCAACATTGCAGCAGCAAATTTCATAGTCAATGCATCAACACCGCTTGTTCCTGGCACGCAGCTGATCATCCCCTGTATTGGCCGCATCGGTATAGTCGACTGCGGTTGCGCAGCGTCTCTCCAAGTGTGCGGGGCTGACATGGTGACTTACCCGTCCTACTGCGATGCCCTCTGTAACTACGCCGTCCCGCTCATCTCAGACGTACCTTGTGTCGGCGGGTGTGTCAGCGCGTGTTTCAACCGCATGGGTCTGGCTCCTCTTACTGGTTACGGCTGTACCCACGCCATCTGCCCGTACCCCTCATGGCCATTTGAAGCTCCTTCGGATTGCTCGATCATAGTTGGGAATGTCACAGGTCCGTGCTGCACGTACAGGCGGAATTCTTGCGACCAGGAGTGCACTCAAACTGCTGCTACGCTCGGGGGGACAACGGCTCAACGCACTGCCAACTACAACTCCTGCTACAGCCAGTGCATGTGCTGCACTGCCAATTCCTGCGGTGCTGGCTCTTGTAAGGCCCCCTCATCCTGCTGGTCGGCCAGTCCCCGTCAGTGCATCTATGCCAACTATCAGTACACGTGGAACTGTACCTATTTCCCCCCTGACAGTCCTCTTCCTTAGCCGGGTCCTCCTGCATTCTCGAATTGTTTTTCAACATGACTGCCTTTTCTGTTTTAGATAGCCAATAAAAATGCTGCACATTGACATAGAGAAGTTGTACATTAATGCGCTACTGCAAGATATTTTACTGTAGCACTGTTTTTCTACAAGTTGTAGTTTTTGTACATATGGCACTCATCATCACAAGGATTTTTTCGTTCCCTACTGCCTTGTCTAATGTAATTACATTGCCTCTTGAACTTCAGAAGTACGGTACAGGTGCAGCCTCCCTAGACACCCAGGCTAACCTCTGTTTCTATACCCGTAGCAAACCTCTATTCTCAAGGTTCCTGCCTGGCTAAGTTCCCTGTATCTTTTTGTGAAGGCATTGACTTGTGAAATGAGTTCCTCTACTCATTTTTCATTCTGCACATTTTCACTAATAACTGAGAATAACCGATGCTGTTATAGCGAGTATTGCGCACTTATCTTCTATTGGATGATGTAATTTAAAACTTCGCCGCCTGCTTCGCTGGCAATTCTCCGCCGCAAACTTGGGGTACATGGTTCTCCAATCGGGGAGACTTTCGTTTCATCGGACGGTCAGCAGAACCTGGATTCCAGCTCCGGTGGGACCATCTCGCCCTTATGCTCCAGCTGCTGGGCCTTTGTCCCTTGGCGCAGGAAGAACAGATCCTTCCTGTCTTGGTGAGCTGGAAGGTTGGACCAACTAGGCTGAGCAGAGCACGTGCTTCAAACGAGGATCACACTTTTTGCCTCGTCCTCCACAACACAACGCATCCTCTCCTTCACAAGCATTTTCTCCCTTTCCGTGTGCCACTCACCAACCTGTCCACGAGCATTGTTGCTTCCTGGGATCCAAGTCAGACGGTGTTGTGCTTCGCTCTTTGTTGATTTGATCCACGTTGCGAAGTATTTTCAGCCATGGCTACTTTCGCAGAAGCTCCTGCTGGTAACCCCGACGCTGGAGCTAAGATCTTCAAGACCAAGTGTGCTCAGTGCCACGTGGCAGAAAAGGGTGGTGGTCACAAGCAAGGTAGGACGATCGGTTAAGGAACAAATATCTTGACCTTAGTCGGTTGACACGCGAGCCTTACGCGAGCCATCGTGGCATTTTCGATCGCAGGTCCGAACCTGGCCGGGCTTTTCGGCAGGCAGTCTGGAACCATTGAGGGTTATTCGTACTCAAATGCCAACAAGAATGCTGCAGTTCTGTGGGGAGAGGAGACCCTTTACGACTACCTTTTGAACCCTAAGAAGGTACGTAGGCTTCTGCCTGTGAGATGACCTCTTTCGTTTTGGCTTGCAGTGCTCTTTACGTCTGAGATCCGTGGATCGAACCCGAGCCCTATGTGTTTCTACCCTATCATCCATCGTTTGTCCCCCGCAGTACATTCCCGGCACGAAGATGGTCTTCCCAGGTCTGAAGAAGCCTCAGGAGAGAGCGGATCTGATTGCTTTCTTGAAACAAGCCACTGCGTGAAAAGAAAGGTAGCTTACTATGTACTCCCATTCATTCTAAGATCGTTCTGACTTCCTATCTTAGGGACATCAATAAAGAGCTAGCTGACCAAGAGCACTAAATAGCCCTGCCAACTAGTGCCATGATCATATCTACATACTGATGCTTAGTGGCAGGCATGGCAGCCATAGCACAATGGACCCTGAGCCGCTAAATGTTTCACAAGGGTACACATGGAGCTCTTGAATAGTAATATGATTGGACATGCTTCAAAACGAGTTTGCAGAAAAGCCAAACCTCAACCTTCAAGCTGACCAGGGTATGACCTAACAAGCAGCACTGGAGTCATGCGCAGATGCAAGATGAATAGCACAATATCCCTGAGGGCTACAACTCCGGAGGGCATTCTTCCGCAATCACCGTGAGTGTGTTGATGTCAGATCCCATCATGATTGCCCTGTCATTGGCTGCCATGTGGCGGATAATCTTGTACACTGTCTCAATCTGATAGCAAGGGATTGCAATGGAGTGACCAGAAGCAGAGGCAGAGGATGGCCAATTTGAGTAAAGCGTTGAAGTGAAGGACACCCACCCTTCAGCGAGACAACTGAGAACAGACAAGAACAAACATGCTGATGCCATGTGCGAATCCAAACCACCTCAAGGACCTGATGTGCTCAGCATGCCTGATTGCCATGCTGTTACCGTACATGTGATACGTGCCAACTACGTGCATTGTGTGATACGTGCCAACTACGTGCATTGTGTGATGCGTGCCCCCCACTATGTGTGGCAAATGCCTTTCTTTTGCTGCTACCTGTAAAACCGCACGTTTGCCCCACACCAACGAATGCACATGCACACTCACCATGACTCTCCCACTCACTCCAAATACCCAATTCTCTGATTCAGCATCTGCACTCTCACCTGTATCAACTTTTACACTCTCACCTGCTCCTCTGCCCTTGCACTCTCACCTGCGCCTGTGCATGAGCACGCGTGGCAATCTCCTGGATGGTAAGAGCTTCCACTGGGTGCTTGCAGCTGAGCACAGAAACACGAGAGTGGCAAAGGCAAACATGAGAAGCACGAGACAAGAGTGAGTGAGTGTGACATTCCGGAGGACTGCTGAATGGTGAGAGCTTCCACTGGGTGCTTGCAGCTGAGAACACAAACACGAGTGTAACAAAGGCACGTGTGAGAATCGCAACAAAATGAAACGCGAGTGACAGCCTTCCTCTTGGATACTGAGAGCAGATAACCGCGCAGGGAATGTGTGGTAACCATGGGCAATAGTGAAGATAAAAGCGAGTGAAGGCAAGAGTGAATACGAAAAGGCATGAGAGTAAACAGGCCCATGTGCGAGCTGTGGGTTGCAGCCACGGATGAGTCACGGGATTATTGTACAATCACCCTCTGATTACCCTTTTCCTGTTCAGAAACAGCCCCAACCCGCCCCCCCCCCCCCCTCCTCTACACCCCTCCACCCCAAAAAACAGCCCTCCGTCTTCCTACCCCCAGCTGCATCCTCTCCCTCCAACCAACCCACCTTGCACCAGCCCTATCACCTCGCATCGTTGATCACTGCCTGCACTCTCACCTCGCATCGTTGATCACTGCCTGCACTCTCACCTCGCATCATTGATCACTGCCTGCACTCTCACCTCGCATCATTGATCACTGCCTGCACTCTCTTCTGCAGCGTCAGCACCTCTGCTGCTGCCTTCTTGCCCGCCTCCACTCCTGCCGGCACAGCAACGCATTGGGAGCATGGGCATGGAGCATCGGGTACGCAGCATGGGTTAAGGCCCCATGGCACGCACATACAGCATAGTGGTCCATGGGTCATGGTGCATGGCACATTGTGAATGGGGAATGGGTCATGATGCGTGGCGCATGGGGGTGCATGGGTCATGGTGCATGGCGCATTGTGAATGGGGAATGGGTCATGATGCATGGCGCATGGGGGTGCACAGGGCATGGCGCATGGCGCATGGGGTATGGGGCATGGCGGATGGGGCTGGGACATGGAGCATGGGAATGGGGTTAACATGACACACACATACCTGGTTGGTGGTACGCGTTGACGTTGATGAGTGAGGCATACAGCCCTGTGGCGCGCTCATAGAGAGCAATGATGGCGCCCACCGTCGCTGCATCCACGTCCTTTATGGTCAGCGTGATGGACTCGCGCTTGTTGGCATACAGAGCAGAGCGCGTGCCCTGATTGGGTAGACGGGAGAGAGGGGGGAGTGGGGTATGGGTAGATAGGGGGGAAGAATGGTGAACCTGGTCCCCCTCAGCCAGAATCACACCTTCTCGCCTTCCTTTCCCCCGTCCCCATCAGCACCCCTTCCATTCACCTTCCATACTCACACCTGCCCTTCCCTCCTCCCCACCTGCAGCAGTCCAAAGAGGTAGTCCCGCAAATGACCCCCCGCTCCAGCCCCCAGTCGCGCCAGCTCTGCCGATCCGGCAGCCCCCCACCAACATCTCACAAGTACCCCTCCTTTCCGCGCGTTCCACACCACATGCACTCTT